CTCTGCCGGTGCCCCTCACTCCTGACCCGCAGCCCCTCCTAGCCTGGACCTAGGCCCCCCAGCTCTGCCGGTGCCCCTCACTCCTGACCCGCAGCCCCTCCTAGCCTGGACCTAGGCCCCCCAGCTCTGCCAGCACCCCTCACTCCCGACCCGCAGCCCCCTGCTAGCCCAGCCCTGCCCTCCCCCCACGCTCTGCCAGTGCCCCTCACTCCTGACCCGCAGCCCCCTGCAAGCCCAGCCCTGTCTCCACAGCCCTGCCGGTGCCCCTCACTCCCGACCCGCAGCCCCTGCTAGCCCAGCCCTGCCCCCCCAGCTCTGCCGGTGCCCCTCACTCCCGACCTGCAGCCCCGGCTGGCAGCAGGGCGTGTTGTCCACGTGCTATAAAAGGTCACATGAAGTTTCCCCTTTTCTATGTCAAGTGCAGGGGAGGGAAGTGAAACTGACAAGCTCAGCAGCTCCCCAGATCGGAGGGGGGATGGGGGGGTGTCACATCAGTCAGGACTGCCCCCCCCCACACACAGTTACCATCCCACTGGGAGGGGGGCTGGGCCCATGAAGCCCCCCCAGTCAATGTGTGCAGCCAGGGGGAGGCAGGAGGCTCTGGGACGGATTGGGGGGGGGTCAAAGCTTGAACCCTGAATTCCAGCCCAAATCCCCATCCTGTCTCCCCCCGCCCCCCCTGCCCGAGCCATCCTGCCCCAATCCCAGGCCCTGAGCCCCCAGCCACCCCTGCCAGCACCCCCAGGCCAGTTCCTCTATTCACAGCCCCCCCCCCGGAGCCCCCCAGATACCAGCCTTGGTCTCTCTGCTCAGGTTACCTGTAGGTCTCACTCCCCCAGCAGCTGGGCTGAGACCTGCCAAACTCATCTCGCACATGGCACCAGCTGGGGGCAGGCAGGGGATGGGGCTGCCCCCCCCGGTGAGACGCTGGGTCCCAACCGCCTCGGGGGAAACCCACGCGTGTGGCCCAGGGGTTTTGGCATTTGGGTCACGGAGGGCACAGGCCTGTTCACACCCCTCCCCTCCCCGGCTGGCGTCCCGGGCGGCAGGGGGGCTGAGCAGGGTCTGGAGGGGGGGAGAACCAGAGCGGCACCCCCACCCCAAACCAGCGATGTGATGCTCCCAGCCCTGCCCAGAACCAGGGAAAGAACCCAGGAGTCCTGACTCCCAGCCCTGCCCCCCGCCGTCCCGGAGCCAGAGATAGAACATGGAGACTGGGAAAGGCGATAGCTTGGCCCGGGGGGAGGGAGGGTACATGGGGGGGACAGACACATAAATGTGGGGGGAGGGGAACTCCCAGCTGACCCCTCCCCTTTCCCTAGAGCCCCCATGTGCCCTGTGTGCCCGGCTGCCCCTGCCCCGGGGTCAGGCACTCGAGGCTGGGGCCGGAGCTGACCCAGTGGGGGGAAAGCTGGGGAGCCAACCCTCCCCCCCCAGGGGAAAGCCCTCTAGGGCCCATAAACACAGGGGGGGGGACTGGAGCCTGTGTAAACAGCAGCTCGGCCGGGGGCTCCCCAACCTCACACCCCCCAGGGGCCTCCGCAGAGCTGGGGGGTGGCGGTGGGGGGGGGGGTGAAGAGCACACGGGCTCCCTCCCACGGGGGTCCAGCTGGCGTCACCCCACTGAGACCCCACAAACTCATCCCGCCGACAGCTGGGCCAGGCGCTGGCCTCGGCCGGAGTTGACAAGCTCCCCCCGAACCCCCCCCGCCGCTAGGTATTGAGATTAAAGACAATAACGGGGCCTGTTCCGGCCTAGCCTGCGCCGGCTCCGCTCCCTGGCCCAGCTGGGGGCCGGGCCGCGTTCCAGACGGTCACCGAGTGTGTGAGCAGCGACCGCGGGTGGGTGGCGTGTGGTGCTGTACGCGGTGGGGAAGCTAAACTCGCCCTAGGAAAATAAACAGCAGCTACAATTATTCCACAGCTCAAAATAGGCCTTCCTCCCGCTTCCGCTGCAGCGTCGCCAGCCAGACACCCACAGCCCTGCGCTCCGCAGCCCCACGGCCCCCGGCCCCCGCCCGGCCTTGCGCCTCGGGCTCTGGGTAGGGTAAATAACGGGGCATGAAGTGCTTGGCGATCGGCCGGCGGAAAGGCCCCCCCCAGAGCGAGGCGCCGGCCTCAGGAAAAACCAAGGAAATTCCAATGCAAAAAACTTGGTTGCGGTGCCATGACGCCCGCCGGGGTTTGCGCCCAGGTTCCCGTTCGGGGCCGGTCTCGGCGCTGGCCCTGGTGCTGGGACTGGGACTGGGCCTGGAAGTGGCAACTGACCGGAGCTTTGCTGTGCCCGGCCCGAGCCAGCGCCCAGGCCTGCGCCGAGCCTTGGTTCCCTGAGGACCGGCCCCGCTTGGGAAAATCTTGGCCTGGGGGGATTTTGGGGGCGTCCGGGCTCAGCTCCCCCTCGTCCCGCTGTTGTCTGGGCGGCCAGGGCAAAGCGGGCGTGAAAAGAGCCCCCAGGGCAGGCACGAGGGGGCTGCTGCGAAGGGGAGCTGGGGGATCGGCCCCCCGTTCTCCAGCCCCCCGGCCCAGGAGCGGAACCATCGCCCCGGCGTGGGGGGGTTTGCTGGGGCGGCTCTGACAGGCCCGGGGGGGTCAAACCGCAGCTGGGGTGGAAGGGGGAGGGGGGCAACCTGGTGCCAGATAAAAATGTGTTTCCGGCAAGAATCAAAAAGGAGAAGTCGCCGCATCACGGGGAGAGGAAATGACGCTTCCTCTGCCCCCCCCCCCCCGCGCGCCCTCCCGCGCCCTCCCGGCCTGTCAGCCCCAACCAGGGCAGGACGTGACACTGACGAGGCTGGAGTGTGGATTGGGGAATTCCTGCCCATCACCCTCGCAAACAACCCCCCCCCGCCCACACCCTGAGTACCCCTGTCCCCGCATGTGCGCACACTCTGCACACACAAACACACACGCACACACACACACACGTGCGCACACCCTGCACACACACACACGTGCGTACACCCTGCAAACCCCCCCGCACGTGCGCACACCCTGTGCACACACACACACACACGCACGCGTGCACACCCTGCACACACACATACACACGTGCGCACACCCTGCACACATACACCCACACCCCGTACGTGTGCACACCCCTACTTACACACACCCCCACGCAGATAGATAGAGGGGGTGCTGGGGATAGATAGATAGATAGATAGATAGATAGATAGATAGATAGATAGATAGAGGGGATGTATGGGGATAGCTAGCTAGCTAGCTAGATAGATAGATAGATAGAGGGGGTGTATGGGGATAGATAGATAGATAGATAGATAGATAGATAGATAGATAGATAGATACAGGGGATGT